GAGAGAGAGAGAGAGAGAGAGAGAGAGAGAGAGAGAGAGAGAGAGAGAGAGAGAGAGAGAGAGAGAGAACATCCACAATAAACAAAGTCTTCACAATGTCGTCCTGCGATCTAACAGAGACAAACATGCTATATAAATACCGTGGCAATCAGACAGTCTGGGAAGAAGTGACGAGCTCAGGGCAAAAAGGTCGGCCGTGTCTCCATAACAGTTCGTTTAGTTTGTTTTAGTAAAGGTTTTACGGCGCTCGCAACTGCATAAGGTCATACGAGCGCCAGAAGATTAGAGGTGTTACAAGAGAGTAACAAGCATAAAAAAGAAGAAGGGGAGATATTAAGTACAATAGATGTTTGATAGAAAAGAAGAAGCAAACCAAACCAGAGCACCCGCCAACCAACCACACAGTTCATTAATTGTAAATAGGCTACTTTTTTCCCTCCAGAATCAAGAATACAGTCGGACTTGCTCAGACGACAACCTGTTGTATAAGACAATCATATATTATTCTGCACAAACGACTACTAGACTTACCATTACCCCCCCCCCCCCCACAACATTGTTTATGTTCTACACATCATATTGTCACATTGTTCAACACGACCACTTGACTAAAACGACCACTTTTCTCCGCGGCAGCAGGTGGCCGTCAGTCTTAGACAGTATCGACAGCAAAGATCTTACATAACAAGACAGTTCACTCTGCCAAAACAGTGTCCGCGGAAGTCCACGCATTGGTTCAGTCAGATGGTACTACAGTCTTTGTTTTGAAGCTCTGGCTGGTGCCTCTATGAATAAATCATTGATGGTCAAGGTTTTAAAACAGCACCTGGACATGGATTGCTGATAAATTATTGATGATAAATTATTGATGATGGTTTTGAAGCTTTCTTTCGTTTCTCCAGAAGAAGAATAGGAATAGCATAGTTTGTTGGTTTCGTTTTTATTTCTTTTCACACAAGTAGGGGTAACTCTGTTCTCAAAGTCCGCGCTTTTTCAAAGAGGGCGCCACCGAATTTTTTAGAGGACACTTTTTAATAGGCTCAAAGAGAGGAGTGAACTATCTTGTTATACACGGTCTTTGTCGACAGTTGTAGGTATTTCGTCGGTAACCTAACCCTGTCATTTCTTACACCTAGCGACCTTTGATTGGCCGGATTGATCGCCTCGGAAGCCATGTTTGTTATGACTGTGATGGATGGGTGGTCCCCCTTTGTTGTGACGGGAAGACACCACTGTAGGAATGTATATCTGCTTGGCCAATCGAGACAGATGATTGGGGGGGGGGGCTAATCATAGGAACTACTATTTCTGGCTGGATCGGTGTTCGTTTTTCTTTACGCCGTTTTTACGATGTTCTAAACGCAAAACAGATGAGTGGTATCTAGACGTGTTGGATGGATGTACATGGGGATTTTGAGATTGTTATATAATGAGAGAAGAAGGGAAACATGGAATTATGAGAGAGAGAGAGAGAGAGAGAGAGAGAGAGAGAGAGAGAGAGAGAGAGAGAGAGGAGGGAGAGAGAGATAGAGAGAGAGGGGGGGAGATAGAGAAAGTGGTGGGGCAGGTGAGGTGTGAGAGAGAAGCAAGAGAGAAAGGAGAGAAAGACAAAGAGAGAGATAGAGAGGAAAGGGGGGAAGGATAGATAGATAGATAGATAGATAGAGAGAGAGGGAGAGAGAGAGTAAGAGAGAGAGAAAGAGAGAGAGAGAGAAAGAGAGAGAGAGAGAGAGAGTAAAAGAGAGAGAGAGTGAGAGAAAGAAAGAAAGAAAGAAAAGAGAGCTAATACACCAATAAGATCCATCGTTGTTGTACACAATCAGGAAGAATTTGTCATTCCTGAGATCGATAAACATTGTCATGTCCACTGAACATGTATTAAGCAGGAAATACTCTAGCTAGCCATTTTTATGATAATCATTCAGCTCTCAGAAATATCGGAATAGAACATGTCTCATCTGTAATCGTAAAATACCGAGAGCTATAGCTAGCCAGATCAGACCTCATTACCTGGCTCTTCAGTACTCGTAAAAATGTCAGCATCATGTATGTATTGACCAAAAAGCATTCAGTAACAGCTACAGAAAATGTCAAGTCGAGAACAGGGCGTAGTTTTCGATTCAAGGTCAGAAAGCATGTTTGTCAGACGTGAGACAGTAAACAGGTCATTTAGCAGGGGGTATTTTCCGACCCTGTCTAGTGTAAGGCATGTCATCATCATCCGGTGCCTTGCCGACTGGCGTGGGCAATCATGTATGTAAGGCATGTATGTAAGCCAATCAAAATGTTCCGTCTCAGTCTCACCGTACATATGGTTTGTCTTTTCTTTATTATGAAGTATGCCACGCACGAAGCTCTGACGT